ATTAGTAACTGTGTCAAATAAAGAACCAGAAGCAACAAAATGTTTGTTGAAACAGTTCAGGATCTCGTGATGATTTGACTTATTTATTAAGATTCATAACTGGCTGTAACTACCGTACCCACCACTGCACCCAGTATTCACTGGTATTCCCGGGCTAAAACCTAGGTCTGGGTCCGGTAGAAGAGAACTCCAGCACGGTTCCAGTACAGTGTGAATGTAAAGAGACCGGGCCCGCTCCGCAGGACAAACACTCATTTGTCTCATATGGAGCCGTCAGCTGTCCAGTGTCTTAAACAATGTTGTCCAGGGTCTTCTGTCTCGTCTTCTGCTCGTGCTGAGTCCATGGTTGGACTCCTGGCAGGGACCAACGCACACGTGTTCCACTTCAGTTTTCTACATTCGCCTTAGAATCTAGCTGGCTTTGTTACTTTTCTTTTTTTGCCATCCTATTTGTAAAAAAAAAAACGGTGTGACTTTTTATAACTGTCCATTGTTGTCCTGGTTGTTTGTTAAACCAGGTGTCTCTTGTAAACGAGTCCTCCAGGTTTACCTGAATAAATAAAGGCTGAAGGGATGAATTTAGAAATAAACTCATTTGAATTCTGTCTCTGGTCGCGCCACCTGTCTCCATACTTTTATATAAAATAATGTGTTTGGTTCATTTCTCAGTCACACACTGGGACAGTTGCTGAGTGCGTGTGCTCGTGTCACTAACAAGTGCTGAGTGCGTGTGCTCGTGTCACTAACAAGCAGATAAAAACAGCTGAACTTAAACAGTACGTTTAAAAATGTTAAACTGTTCTGCAAACTGAAGCTCGTCCAATTAATAAGCTGATAATAAAACATTTACCTCACGTGCACGCGCTGCTTCACTCACTAGAACGGGTTCAGGAACAGCAAAGTGTACTTCCTGCTCTGTATTTTCAAAATAAAAAGTGTTTCAAAATAAATTGCGCAAAAATATAAAATTATAGTATTTTTCCAAAAGTTTACATTTTATTACTAATGAAAGAGTCTTAGTAAAAAATACAAGTGGCTAAAAATTTTGACAGTGACTTAATGAAATGTACACTTTTTAGTTTAAAGTCGCACTTTTTTACTTCCTGTAATGTCCCGTCTCGCTTGGCCGCCGTTGTATCCGTGACGTCACTTCCTGTTCCAACCTCCAGTCATTCAAACTCAGTGGTGACGTGACGCGGTTTGGAGAAGCCCAGCAGTGGCTGTTTGTGAAGAGCAACTGACTGGCAGCTTATCTGCTGCTCTTTAAGTTACAGCAGGGCTTTTTAAACTGAAGCTTTGTAAGAAGCAGCGTTATAATCAATCAATCAAATAAAGGTTGATTGATTGATTATATCTGCTGTCCTCTTCAGTCCTTGTAGCTGCACCTGACACACGTGAGTCTGGTCTGGGTACAATGAAATCTGAAGCATCTGAAGAGAAACCTGCTCCATTTGTCACAAAGTCTGGTCTCAAAGATCACGAGTCCTGTAACGAGATACGTCCCAAAACAAACTGTTCTCTCTAGAAGTTCTTCTATGAGATGTGATCCATGAGAGGAGCTGGAACATGGAGAAGGACTGAGCCTTCACACCTGAGACAGCTGAGGAGGTGAAGCAGTAAACAGAATACCTGCTCCAGGTGCAGAATCTGACAGAACCTGACATCACTCGTCTGCAGCGACTGATTTAAGAGTTGAACAAGACGATGTGAAGTTAAAGAAACATCCTTTGTCCCAGAGACAGTTGAAGTTTCAGTATTATTTTGGTTACTTTATTTTTATTTCTTTATAAATTGATTGTAACTATTTTCACATTATTCAACAACCAAAACAGATTTTGTTTTTTTATGTAATGGCTAGGTTTTAAAAAACAAACAT